CGAATCAAGTTTTTAGAGTTCGGCAGAGCCGTATTCTCACCATCTTACCTGAAAGACCACTCATCGTATAAACTAATCGGCTTCGTTAAGAAGCTGGGTTTATTTGGTCGAGTGTGAATAGCTGTGATCCACAATAAACCCTTGCGGGTTGCGGTGGAGGGTCGAATAGACCCACTCAATTTGGACCTAACCTACAAAGTGAGTAGAGAAAAGTGATTTTTTATAATTCAGTGTTCATAAGAAAGTATTTGTTTCGATTATTAGCAATTTTTGGTTATTTCTTTAACAATAATACTTACAGTTATATTTTTTTTTCGATTATAATATAATACTTTGTGTTTGATATGTGTATAATACTTTGTGCTTATAATTTATATAAGGTGTCACACAACAAATTGGGGGAGAATCAGTTCATAATTGATTATGAATTGATTCGAATACGATGGCGATAACGAAACTGTTGTTTTCGTTGAAATTGTTTTGATATCCAAAGAATATATGTACATCATTCTAGGAACACTGAAAAAGGAATGTAAAGAATGTTGAGGTATTTTGACTCACACCATTAGCGTAAAAAAATTGGAGTATAAATGGGATCACATACTCACTGGATGATAATAGAAGCTTCATATTATTTCAAAAGTATTGTTTTATACAATAGGATAGTAGGTAGAATTTCATGAAAAAATTATCTGAGATTCAGAAGTTCTGGAAGAAAAACAATTTTAATTTTTGGAATTCAACACCCTGTATTTCGTAAACGGTATATGTTACGAAAAAGTTAATTAAAAAAAATATTGACCAATTCTTGGGAAAAATCTTCTACATCCATTCGAAAATCGTTTTTGTGAACCCCTGGTTGAAATTTTATGACACTCGGAAAAAATCTCGAAGGATCAAAAACTGTTTCGGATTCAATCCCTCATGAAATACACTATATTTGAAAGTTGATGCCATCGACAATATTTTTTCAAGTCACAGCGTCATCTTCATTAGTGAAATGTGAATTGACTCTTATGTCAAGCTTCGAGCCACAATAATCCCTTGCGTGTTGCGGTGGAGGGTCGAATTGACCCAGTCATTTTTGACCTAGCGTAACCTATTTTAAGCTTGAGTCATCATTCTTGTTGATTCTCTAATTAGCGTTTGCAGAATTGAAATATAGTTCTGGAAATATCCCCTGTACATTTCACAACTCACGGCATATTGAACGTATATATTTGGTATACGTCTGTCTATGTATATGTGTGTATATACGAGGTCAGTTCAAAAAATAAGGTTAATTTTAATTTTTTTGTTCCCTTCAAAGTAGTTCCAATATGTTCCTTCCATAGGTTTTTTCAATCTTAGGAACAGGAAAAAGTCGCAAGGGGTCAAATCTGGTGAATACGATGGCTGAGGCATGATTACAGTGTTGTTTTTGTCCAAAAAATTACGAACAAGCGAAAACGAGTGAGGAGGTACATTATCGTGGTGCAGAAGCCATGAATCGTTTTTCCACAAAACCGGACTCTTTCTTCGTATTGATTCTCGCAAGTGGCGAGAAGCAATACGACCGTACAACCATGTGGCAAGAACTCCTGATGCACTACGCCACTGTAATCGAGAAAAACAGTGAGCAAAACCTTGACATTTGATCGAACTTTGCGTGCTTTTATTAGTCTTAGCTCTCATGGGCTCTTCCATTGGGATGATTGACGTCATAACCATGTACCCAGAATTTCTCACCATTTATGACCATCTTGAGCATATCTGTATCGCATCGCCGTTGACGTCATTCAACAATTCCAGAGAGATGCTCATGCGACGGTAAAAATTCAGCAATTTTGGAACAAACTTCGCTTTCACACGCTTCATGGCCAAAATTTACTAAAAAATTGCATGGCATGAGCCAACCAACATGCCGACATTCTCAGGATCTTTTCCCATGGTGTTTCGACGATTCCCCGTAACGATTTTCGTGACTTTTTCAATATTTTCATCGGTTGTTGATGAGCTGGAGCGTCCAGACCGAGCGTCTTCATTCACATATTTTTAACCTCCTGTGAAAAGCTTCTATCACTTGTGAAGATTTTTATGAATCAGAGTACAATCACCCTATGCCACTGTCAACATTTCAAGTATTTTTGAACATCAGTTCCATTTCTGCATAACATTTGATGCAAATTATTTGATCCATTCTGTATCTGTATCTTATAAGGACTATTATATCAATTTTTATAAGGATTTGACAAATATTCTGAAATGTGCACTGAAAAAAAATTTTCCAATTTAGGTGTATTTATGGCTTAGTATTTTGCATATAGTGACTACCTCATACGGTGTACCTAGATATATGCTATCCTGGACTTTTATTAAGAACTATTTAAAATGAAAAAATGTACGGTACATTATTTGCATGTAACTCCAACGGAATAGGCAGCGCACGCCAAGATAGATCTCAGGAAGCAAGAATTTTTCCGACTTACTTAATATTTATCGTTATATTATGACCAAAATTACACAAAACCTTTGTAAATTGTAGTCTATATTCTGATATATGAGCTGTATTTATGTAGTTTCATCTAAATCCGTTCAGTCGTTTAGGCACAAACTTTCACATTTATTTCGGTGTAAATAGATAGATAAGTAAATATGAGAATCTGCCCATTGCGTTCTATAACTTCGCATTCTCATTATACCACCAAAGTTCAACACATAAAATGTACTGACAGATATTGTGGTTTTCTGAACACAGTACCTACAAATTGATATGTTTCATTATGTTATTGATTTTGTTAAAGAATAGTTTGAAATAATTGAAAAGGGTCATATTTTTCGTTATATTTCGGTTCGTGAATACTACATCACACGTTGCATCAAGGTTCATGTCTAATTCCAAAACATATAGTATTTAGCATTGATAAAATTTGCTCCGGCATAAAATCAAAATAAGTTAGTAATCTCGTTATATTTTTCAGAAAATTCAAACAATTTTGTAATTCGCAAGGAGTCTTACTATTCTCTTTCAGAACCGTGCTATGAAAAAGTTTTCAACCTACCTTCGATTCAGAGTTGTAAACTTTGGCAAAAATATGACCATACATGGAACATAACTGTTAAAAAGAACAAGAAATTGCAAGAATTATATACCAAATGCCAAAGGAGAAAGATAATTCCTTGATTAAAGCAGCCGTTTGAGACAAAACGACCTCATAAACAAGTGAACATCTAGAAATAGACGTATGTGTATCTACTAAGGCTAACAAGCATATAATGTATTCTGATAACAAAAGAAGTAGGTCAATGATGAAGAAAAAAGGAAATTATCCTTGTAGCGACGACCCTCCCAATTATTCACCTCAAAATCAAACAGAAGTGTTACCCTGGATGAAATAATCTAAAGGGAGAAGCAATGAGGGCAGAATTTACTGAATTGAGCGATGTAACGGGTGATTTTTTAAGAGGTATAGGATTTGATTTTCAAAACAACACAAACAATTTGAAAAAAGTGTTTATTGGAATCGATAGAACGATCAATATAATTTAATGTTTAAAGATGGTTTCATGCAAATGTTGTCCGCGGTTCCGCTTTAGATGGCCCATGCACAAGGTCCAATTTTGGCACACTCTCTCTAACATATGGACCGGTATTTCACGTATAAATGTTTTAATATTGGCTTCCAGAGCGTCAGTCGTTGCTGGTTTATCCCTGTAGACATGAGCCTTAACATGACCCCACAAGAAATAATCCAAAGGCGTTAAATCACACGATCTAGGCGGCCAATTGACGGGCCCCAAACGTGAGATAAACTGTTCACCGAAGGCGGCTCTTAATTGAGCCATTGTTTCGCGTGCCGTGTGGCATGTGGCACCGTCTTGTTGATACCATAAGTCAGGCATGTCCGATTCTTCCATTTTAGGCAACAAAAAGTCGTCAATCATCGTAGCGCTCGCCATTCACAGTAACGTTCCGGCCACTGTCGTCTTTGAAGAAGTACGACCCGATGATGCCACCGACCCATAATCCACACCAAATAGTGACTTTTTTGGGATGCATCGGTAGCTCTTGCAATGCTTGTGACTAGTCTTCATTCCAGATGAGGCAATTTTGCTTGGTAACGTATCCACTCAACCAGAAATGAGCCTCGTCGCTGAATTTTTCGATAAAAATGTGGATCTTCCTCCAACTTTCCCAGCGCCCATTCACCAAATGTTAGACGTTGTGGAAGGTCGTGTGGCTTCAAATCATGCACCAGCTATATCTTATAAGGTTTTTCACCCAAATCCTTTCGCAAAATTTTCCACGTAGTGGAGTAACAGAGGCCCAATTGCTGCGAACAGCGGCGAATCGACATTTCAAGGTCATCACGAACACTGGCGGATACAGCCGCAATATTTTCTTCGATTCTCACTCTACGTGTGCGTGTTGGTGGTTTAATGTCCGATAATGTAAACTGGGTTCGAAATTTAGTCACAAGCTTCCGAATAGCTCCCTCAGTAGGCCGACGAAACTGTCCATAAATTGGAAGGAGTGCACGATGCACTTTTTTCAACGAGCATGAATTTTGATAATAAAATTCAATAATTTGCAAGCGTTGCTCATTCGTAAGTCGATTCATGGTTAAATTGTAGACCAAATTGAACAAATTTGACAATGACACAAGACACGATTTACGCGTGAACTGTCAAAAACAGTGTTGCCAAAAAGATGCCAGCAAAAAAATCACACATTACTATGTCGAATAGTGCGACGAGTGATAAAAGAAGGAAATGAGATTAAGAAAGCATGGATTATTTTGGTCAACGGCACAACAGGGATAGAAAGCGAAGTTAAACACAATAATAATTCTTAATTTCAAGAGATTTTGGAGTAATTGAACGGGATCGTTGATTTGTAAAGTATACCACTTATTAAAGCGCCCATCGTAACAATTTGTATATGAGTAGTGGAATTCAGTATTGAATAACTTTCAGAAACAGTTTCTACAAAGCTCAGATAAGACAATGAGAAAACAAAGTTTTTGAGACATCAGTTTTATTCCAGATGTTACAAAAATGATAATTCAAATATTTTTTGAAAGTACCAAACTTTCGCATGTTCATGAAAAAGGGTCAAACTACATCAATTCGATAAAATTACCACCAAAATTTCACATAATTCCCAAATCGGCACGATGGAGCTCCCAGGAATTAGTATTGCAGGAGTTAGTTGGCTGGAATACATGCACTAACAATGGTTGTGGTGTAGGTTCTACGGTAGCAGCTCCTCTTCCAACCATCCCATCCCCTAAATCCCAACTCTGCTTGAATTTTTTGAGCACAAACCGAATCATCTCGTATGTTATCGTCCGTCAAAGCTACAAGGAGAAATCTGAATGAAAATGTGTGACTTATGAGCCTTAGAGATGCATAACAAAATACTCAAAATTCAACATGAATTATAATAAAGGAGGATAGCGAGTCACATAAAGTTCAGCCCAAAACATTTATTTCAACCAACCGAATCCAATTATGTTCCGGTTGGGACAAACGAGTAGCCCTGGACAATCCGGAGACTTGAAACAAATCCCAAAGATACTATAAAAACTGTAAATGTAAAGCTTGTTATACTCTCAAGATACCTTAAAAAATTAAATAACAATGAGAAATTTCATGAGTGATAATGAATGACTTCCACATTCCATTCGAAAATATATCTGTTCCTTGATTAATGTTCAATTTGAAGTCTTTGTGTTAAAAGAAACAGTGCTAAAATCCTGTGAGTGCTAAGAAGTTGTACCTACTTTCAGTTTTGGTATCTCAACACTATTATTTCAATCTATGGAACTATAAATATTTAGTGTATCAATATATAGGGAAAATAATCAAATCTCTTTCATTCAAAGAGAGTTGATCCTGAGGAAATAATGGTCCTTGTGAAATTAAATGTCCTTATAAGCATTTAAAATCAAAGCTAGACATTCAGTTTAGACAACAAACAATAGATCCATCGGGCTTGCATTTCACTTTGAAAACCCACTTGCATCCTATTGGTTTTCTTTTATCAAACTTATGACAAAGATTATATTCTTCAAGCTTTCACTTTCGAAATTATTGTAGATGAAATAGAATGAATCGCATAAATGAAAAATTATATTAAAAGACATTTGTTTCTGGATCGAGACTACTTGATTTGAAAGAATCAAGTTTTCGAATCAGAATTTTCAAATAGATTAGCCAGGTGCATGAACTTATCAATAAACTCTGTCTTTCAAGTTATTCAACTGTACAAATTCAGATGCAGTTTGGTAGAGCTACCTTTCTTTGATAGCAATAATTGCGCAAAAGGTAAGTTGAAAACTCAAGGTAAAATTATGTGAAATATCAAGAAACTATTATTTTTTTTGCCATATATCCTGTATTTGGCAGAGGAAAATTTAACAGTTATATTTATGTAATCGTTGGCAAGCGTATAATTAGTTCAAAACCCGTATCCTTCATCCTTACTGACTGAAAAGGATTTGTATCCTAAATTGGAAATAAATTAATGAATGGATGAATAATTTGCAAAACAGTTTTAATGTGCTGTTGAAATGGAAGTCCGAACTAGTAAAATTCACCATAAACATTACTAGCCACTTTGAAAAAAACGTTAAAAGAGTATTGAAGTAACAAATTGAAAAAATATGGAGAACGAACCTTCAAATATTAGTTTTTTGTAACAAATTATTTTTGACTAACAAAAAAAATATATTTTGTTGTTATATGTATGTATAGTATTGCTATGCTTTTTATTTTTCATTTCTGTTGAAATCCCTAATATCAACAGATTTGTTTACTGAGATGAAGAAGCGAATGATTCGAGTGATATGACAAAACTATTTTCAAGGTTTCTCAAGAGCAAGGCAATGAAAGAGGACTGAGTATTTTTATTTTATTTTAAAAGCACTTCGATTGAAAAAACATTCTCGAAAATATTATATCATTTTATTTTATAGTTTTTAGTTTGTATGTCCAAATAATCCATTTCTGTCAATGTATCAATGCACTGTAAGTTTTGAGCTAACCTTACCTTCAATAAATGGGCGTGTGATATATTGGATTTAAAATGAAGTCACTTTGTTTAAAGTATTTCGATCATCATTATTATGAAAATAATAAAACGCCATTTTGTATTGTTCGCCATATTTGATTCAAAATCGCGGCGTTGAATTGATCGTGCATTGTCACAAGAATCGAATGTGTGTGTGTCTATTTCAAGACTAACCAAATAACTAACAGAGCAAGTTAAATAAAAGCTTTATGAATACAATGAATGAGACGAATTGTTAATTAACTAATAACTAATGAATTAGTATGTAAAGTATGTATTCCTGACTGTTATAACATGTAGTTATTTTTACTAACCTTCACATTTCATGTTGCACTTTCCTCCCGGACTTCCGTATTTGCACCAGTCTTTGCTATTGATCTAAAATGAAATATTAATATGTTTAATTATCTCATTTCACAAGGAAGATTACTGTTATTAAGTCTATTTTTCGAAATAAAAATTCCATTCTATCCAGTTGTCATCTCTATTCATTATATTGTTAAAGTAAATGGAAATATTATTGAATTATTTTTCATTATGTTACCTGGAATAATCCCAAAGCTTTTCCGCCATTGGCTTTGACAATTTCTTTTGAAGTATCTCTCCCGCTTTCACTCTCTATCAAGCATACCCCTGAAAATATAATTGTTATTGCGATTCACACTCATAAAAATTTACAATTACTTCAAAAAAGTGTTTATGACTTCAAATTCACAACTTTACTTTTGTTCTATGTCTCATTATTTTTCATCACCACACAGTAGGTTTGATAAATTTCCCCTTGACTCAAAAGGATGCTCAATAAAAATATACATTGAATCTATTCATTATCCAGGATGGTGTTTTCAACACCTCAGTCTATCATAGTCACGTGATGCAAGTTCCTGAACAGGTAGGAACACTAACCCCCGCAGAAAGGGAAACACTGATGACCACGATTTTCTGGCATTGGTAGCAACTATATGCCACCAATGTTCATAATTCCAACGAAGTGTATGAAACCGAAGTGGCTTGATGGGGCACCTGCTGGGTCTTGGGGAGAATGTCGCGAATCTGGGTGCATACAGGGTCCCTTGTTGGTTCTGTGGTTAAAGAGAACAGTGTTCCAAGCTTTTGAAACATATTGGTGTCCATTTTAACCCCCAACAAACTCATCGAAGTAGAAAGCGAAATTGTCTGACTTGACATTTTTATATCCGGTTCGGAGACATTTATCTTTTTGGAGAAAACCTTGGAGAATTGAACCTGGTTAGTTCCACCCCAATTCGAATTCAATTCTTTATCCTCATTAAGATATGCAACCTCCTGCTGCAGGTGAAGATGTGCCTCCGTAGCCGATGTCCTGTAATCCAAATGGAATGACGAGACAAGTGTGCTGTCGTCAGCAAAGCAATATAATGGATTGTTGTTTTTTTTCAATAAGTCGTTGATATACAATGAAAAGAGGGTTGGAGACAATATGGATTCCTGAGGAACATCAGCGTTGATGGTGAAAGTGTTCGAGAGATATTCATCGATGGCCACTTGCAGGGAATGTTCTTTCAGTAAGCTGGAGAGCCATACACAGACATGATCCGACAAGCCACAGCATCGAAGTTTGGCCAGCAAACCCTCATGCCACACACGGTCGAATGTCTTAGAAATATCAACCTTAGACGTTCCGGAGGTTTATGTTGGCTTCTTCTTCTCAGTATGCGATCGTTGTGCTCGAAATCTTTGTCACCTTCATAATCGTTATCGCCACTTTCATTTATACTATCCTTACGATCAATATTTACAGTATTTACAATTTCTGATCGAGAAATGATATCGACATTTGACATATTGTATTTTCAGCCCGCAAAATTTGTATATTCACCTTATTTCTGAACAGACAATTTTCATTTCTTGTTATTAATTTTTTAATTTTCATCTCGTGTTGATAGATGATTTTTGTTTATTTTCTGGGTTGTTGCTTGTATTTTATTTTATTGTAATTTCAATTTTTTTGCTTAGTACAATTGTTACTTTTCAGCTTATCTTTTTTAATTTTTTATAGATTCTTTCAGGAATTTCAAATCAATTTATATCATATTAGACAATGGAAGTCCAAACTAATGAAACAGTATTTCTTTCTCGAAATATGTTCGTGTTTAACGTGTGATTTCTCTACTGTTCTTCTGATTGCAAGTTTGCAGTGTTCATCAACAGGCACAGTTTTTTTTCCTGAAGATGGATTTGTTGATTTCACAGCCTCATTTTTTTCACTCGTTCTTGAATTTATAAAACGATAATTTAGAAACTCCCGTCATTTGCGAACACTGCCACGGTATACGAAGGATTTTGGTGTGTGAAAGTATCATAAACATTAGGAATAATAATTATTTGAATAAGAGAAAACACACATTTGCTCATTCGTTTCACTGGAGAAACAACTGTGGAAGCACACACTACATTTAACGATGTCAGATCAATTATATACAAAAAAAGATGATCGGATCCAGAATAGACCCTTGAGGGACTCCACTGTTTATACTAGCTGCAGTTGACAATAAATAAGGATGACGTCATTTTTCCTAATTAGTGTTGTTATTTATAAACTATACTTAAACGCCCTCAACAAACAATCAGACGAAACCCCCAACCAACATCCCAAAGAACCTGTCACACTTATGGTCAGATAGGTCATATTTCCACAGAATATCGAATGAGACAATAAAGACCCCAAAATAATTATCAATATTCCAAGCAAAAGTTTGCGAGACCAAGCCCTCAACAACAACTGTAGAAGCACACACTAAGTATAGTTTATTAATAACAACACTAATTAGGAAACATGACGTCATTCTTCTTCATTGTCAACTGCAACTAATATAAACAGTGGAATCCCTCAAGGGTCTATTATGGATACGATCATCTTTTTTTGTATATAATTGATCTGATATCGTTACATGTAAAGGGAAAGTTCACGTTATTCGCAGATGATACCACAATACCTCGAATCTCCACAAGGTTATATCTTCAGAAATCAAGATTATCAAGAACTGGTACGATGCCAATCTCATATCTTTGAATATCAACAAAACTAATTTGATATCCTTTCGTGGTTCTATTTATAACATTCCAACTACTATCAATGAAAGTGTTATCGAGAATTAATTAAGCCCTAAATTCCTGGGTATTATCATAGATAATGACTTTGAAATTTGAAGACCACATCAGATAACTCACTAAAACACTTTATTCGGGTTGTTATGTGGTAAGAATCACTTCTAGAGAATTGGGCGATTTTCTGCAGCTAAATCTCTACTATTCACTACTAGACTCACACTTGAGATACGGAGTTCCGTTTTGGAGAGTGCGTTCTAGAACTCCTTCAGTAAAGACTTGTGTATGTCTATATTCATTACAAATGATATTTTGACAGTTTATGCCATTTTCATATTTGGAACGACCTGTCTGATGAACAAACATAGTCTACTCTAACTATTCCACTCGTCAAATTGACGATTTCAGACTGCCCATCGTCCATCCCGACACTTACTAAAAGCTCAGTAATTTACAATTGCCTAAAAATATTCAACCGCTTGCCAAACGACGTTAAATGTATAGAAAGCCCCTCAGAATTTAGAAAGGTAATCAAAGTTTTACTCTCTGATAGACCCTGTTATAGTTTAGACGAATTTTATGATGATATCTTCCACTAACTCTTATTATGAAATACATTGTACCCTAAGTTAATGTAAGTGTCGAACTAAATTCCATTTAGCTTGGAAAATTGAAAATATTTCAGGATTGCCTAATTCCGACAGTTAAGCTGTGCAGGTTTGTGATACATTAAAAAGTGCTTTCCATAGAAAGTATTGAAAATTTGATCCACAATTCAAAAGGAAAAATAATTTTGGGTGTTCAACTAAATAAAAATCTAATAATTATCAATGTGTTGTTTTTGGTATTGGCATGCTGAGATTGTTGCTTCGGGTGGTTACGTAAGTGCCAGTCAAATGAATGCTTGAAGACTGTTTTTTATGAATCAAACAGGCAGTTTATAAAATGGAAATACTAGTTATAGTAAGAATATTATTGGTCTACAGTGGTCCTTCGCCTTTGCCTTACACAAGTACCTCATGGTCCTCTTTTGTTGGACAAAAGCAGAGTGTAATACATTTTCAATAAATAGGTGTCCTAGCAATGACTGGACCAAGATCATTTGACACCAATCTAATTGCGTAGCAGCCGGATGCTAATTTTTTTAGTGCCATAATAATTTATCATCGATGTGCATGCTCAGAAACTCAATACATGATTTATTTTCCACCTTATACGTGTTCCGACAGATATTATTCAATTCGAACTTGAATGTTAGGATGTTAGTCTTATTCGTATTGAAGCAGAGATAATTCGAGTTACATCAAGATATGACCTCCTGTAGATCCTGGGCTTTGATTGTTTTTAGGCCTTCCACATTTTTGTCATGCCATATAGGGGTGGTATCGTCATCAAACAATGAGAATTTCTCTGTGATAGGTAAACCAGTCAAGTCATTGAGGTACGATAAGAACAAAACAGTACCTAGCACTGAGCACTGAGGTACTCCGGATCTGACGTCAGAATAACCTAAACATTCACTGGAAGCTTAAACCCTTTGTTTTCTGCCATTGAGATAAGATTCGACCCATTTTAAAGCAACACCTCTGAATCCATAATGATGAAGTTTCTTCAGCAGTATTCTGTGATCCATGCAATCAAATCCTTTGGAAAAGTCGCAGAACAATACTGTTCATTTAGGCTTAAATAAACATTTTAAAGGAATGCGAATATTGCATCAGTTGTAACTATAGAGTTCTGGAATCCAAACTGACACGGAATTCAAACTACATTCTCTATCTTTCAACCGACTCAGTTATGTACGTCTATGGAACAGTTACCTGAAAATGATTTATCACTGCTTTGAAAGACTATAATAAATAATTTCTTTTATATATGAAATTCACTGAATAGTAAACGTATGTTACTATTTTAGGTCGACTTCATAAAAGTCGTCAGCACGTTATTATTTACCTACTCTAGTTTCATTTTCTAACTCCGTTATATGGCAGTTCAAATATTCGAGTATGCTAAGCATCAGACAGTGTCATTAGGTAATTAATTTATAATAAGACATTTAAATTGACACTGTGACATATAAATTGCACGCAATGACCGACAAAAAAGTTATAAACAAAAATAAGTGAAAATTTTGTAACAAGTTTCATTTTGGAGGTGTTAAATGAGTATACTGACGAAACAGGTACCTGTAAGAACAAAAATTAAATAATAATCGCGCAAAGAAACTATCCCTAGGTTATTTTGAAGGTTCCATCCATTTTATAAAAGAGGACGTATGCTTCTCCACTCACAGGCGATTTTGGTGAAATTGGTGACACGTGTGAATCTATGTATTTGTGCCAAGCGCCAGTATACGGGTGTCTGCAGTACGCTGTATAATGCTGTATATGCTGTATTATGCCTGTGTTAGTAGTCCCTCTGTGATTTAAAAGTGCACATAGATTATAACAATAAGTAGCCACATTTTTTGCTGCAAAATTGTCCATATCCAATCCTTCTAGAAGAAATTCGATGACATTTAATTTGCCTCTAAATCCGTTGGAGAG